TTTTTTTTGAACCAATTCGCTGTCAGTTCGAGAGCGTCCTGCAATTTTGGAGAAACCTCCAAAATAAAATTGATTTGAGAGCTTTCATATTGTCAGCATGAACTTTCACGACCAACACCTACAAACTTCTCTGCGCATATCGGGCAGTCCTGCTACATAAATATTAAGAAGAGGCGGCATCAGTGCACCGCCTTGGGGCGCACCGCTTTTTACCTGTCTGACATCACGAACAAAGTGACCAAATCAGAATTCAACTTTCTAAAGTTCAGAAAATCGGAAGTCCATTTCATGAGCATGGGATGGAATTCGCGAGCCTTTGATTCGTAGAATAACCTCCTATGTAAAACTCTATAGAAGGCTACTGTGAAGCCAAAGGCACCGTAGTCAAATTCCGTGCAGTCACCTGGACACTCAACCGGGTTTGTTTTTGTCGAGCGACCAGCGCGCGGATGCTTCGAAGTGACGTGATCAAGTGAAAAATGATGAATGATATGGTCTTTCAGACCTCTGTCATATGGGTATGTGGACAAACGTTCGTCCCGTCCCCTCTGTCATATAGCTCACGGAACAAGGACGTGATGCTCTCACACCGATGGGTGCGTTCCGCGCGTCTGATGAAACTAGATCACGCCGCAGCCGTTGTACGAGGGGCGTCAATCCGCGGCTTTTGACGGACGTCGCAGTCATCAATGGGGCATACAATTTGAGCATGGTGTCTGCAGTCAGCTTAAAAAGAAGATGACACGGTCTATTGGGAATCACTTGCTCTGCCGACACTTCGTGGTACTGCAATTTCACCTCAAGAGCGCAAAAAACCGCACACGAGACGGGTTGGTCTAGTTCCGACGTACGGGACGGGTTTACTCCGTGCCGGTACTTCTCTAGGTTATATGAAGCCCTTTCCAAGAATAGGAGAAGCGAACGAGTGCTTCGAACAAAAGTTGACTTTACCGAATAGTCATGACCAGTTAAATATGTAAGCAAGAGGCCGAGATCGGATGCAATATTTGTATGACAAAAAACGGCGCAAAATTACGGGGTGACAGAAGAGGAACAAGGTCATCTTATGATTAGGTAGTACATTTTAAAAGAACTAGGGCAAATCCTTCATGTGCTACACAAAGAGATGGTAAGTGATGGGGCCGTCTCCAATATCGTCCTGAAAGACCCTTCGGCTAAGATTATCACCTTGTCAGATGGTGTTATTGCGACCCTACTGCCTTTTCTAGAGCAAAAGACATGTTTGATTTATTCAATTCATTGCTCAAAGCAATACATCGTGGAGAAACTCCAGTGGAGAGAACAATATGGTGACAGAATTCTGGTAAATCAAAATCTCCTACTATCACACTACGTTACAGGATATGAAACACCAAGGTCCATCGCTAATGACTCTGGCTTCTCTTTGGAGCATGACGGCGCTCTGTATACCACAGTTATTTGAAAATTATAACCTTTGCTATATTGACGCATGCCATGCCGCAACTACCTCGGCAAAAACCTATGGAACGGAAATGCCACTTGTGCCAGTAGAATTGCTACCCCTCCAGTCCTTTTGTGAAAATCACACCTCAACACATCTCACCTAGCACAACATTACCAAAAAGAGAGGACAATATGTTTGAGGACTCGACCAAGTATCACTGAAGCTGATTTACCTCTTTTTTGCCGATAGAATCTTCAAAAAGACCGCATTTCTGGATACCGATCTCACATTTTGATTAAAACAACGCAGCTGACTACCAAACCAGGAAGATGCACTACTTCCTTTCATCACTAATGGAGGGATTGTTCACACATTTGAGGTGCGAAGAGAGGGACAAGGATCCTTCACCACTCCAGCCATTACCCTACGTTTGCCTCTATCATCCTTCCCTCCTTTTTTAAAAGCCAAGGATTCTCTAATATAAGTCCAGAAAAGTAGCAACGATCCGAGCTCTCTTTGAAGCAATATGCTGAGAGACACAAGCCGACAAGACCACTTTTATCTATCTATCCTTGCCTGCAAAAAACTTACTTATCGCATACATCGCTAATGGATAACATTCAACACTGAAAAACTAAAAATTTTGCAATCTCTAGAAAAGCCACTCGTCAAACGCTCTGTGGTATTTGTAGAATACAATTCAAGTATACCGCTGGTAATGATGAACTGTTACCTCTCAACTTCCACAGCAGATAGTGCAGGTTAATCATCGTCGATATCAGCTTCTCAGTTCCGTCAGCGGAGCGACTGGACCTCCTGAGCTAGCCGCACCTAACTCATGAATGAAACAAGCGACGCTTATGGTTTAAAACGGCAAATTCTGACAACATCATTTTCACCCTTTTTTGGCATTCAGAAGGCCATTTAGCGGAAATGGACCATAGTTCTATACTTAGTGCTCATGCCACTATACCATGCAAAAACCATTTTCAAAAAACGTCCCACGCCCTGAAAGACCATCCTTGTCAGAGCCCAAACACAGCGAAAAGTTTAAATACGCAAATTGGAGAAGGAGGGCAGGGATCTTCTTGTGGACATCTGAGGTGGGTTACTTTTTGCGATTTGCAAGACCTCTCTAGACATCTATAGGCCGCACGTGATCCAAGCTGAAGTCCGAACGTCGTTTGACCAGAATGAATCTCAAATGTTTTTTGGCTTCCAGGCTCTGAAGAAGGCGACTGACCGAAACGTTAGCCTAACAAAGATTGTCACATCTTGGCCGTGGCTTCAGGGAGAGCACCTGAGACTCTTCTTATATGTTTTCGCCACAAGCATGCATTAGCTCCCGCTTCTGAGCTTCTGTGCTCAAAAAGTTCAATACTCTTCACGTCCATCGGGGATAAACACTTTTTCAATTGAGTTTTTTTCTCAAACATCAAGGGNAAACGTTAGCCTAACAAAGATTGTCACATCTTGGCCGTGGCTTCAGGGAGAGCACCTGAGACTCTTCTTATATGTTTTCGCCTCAAGCATGCATTAGCCCCCGCTTCTGAGCTTCTGTGCTCAAAAACTTCAATACTCTTCATGTCCATCGGGGATAAACACTTTTTCAATTGAGTTTTTTTCTCAAACATCAAGGGAATTCCATTTTAGAAGAACAGTCTGCTCTGCTCTGCAAGGAACCATAAAGATAGT